ATAAAAACAGTCGCTCGCACTCAGTCGACGTGGGATGTACGTACCCTACGTCGACAAATGCGCTTCGCCTCGTCATCTTGTGCCACTTGAGGGCCTGGGCAGCAAAGGAAGACCTCTTTGTGTCCTCTAGAGGTTGTTCGGCTGTAATTTTATCGTCGATACGAAGCACCACATAGGCAGCACGCTCGGCAGCCGTAAGAGCTTGGCCCGCTGAGTTTTGACCAGACAGTGTACTTTACGATTGCGGTGGTTTGAGTTAGACGGGGCTTTAATTCTTGGTACTTCAAAATAGCGTGGTCGAAAAGGCGTCAAGCCTCAGTTCACGTCAAAGTGGTTCCTTGAAGCGTCTTGGCGACCGACTCAAAGTTGGTCAGATCATTCTGCAATGAGTTGACCCGAACGTGTTCCGAGCGGCTTAGATGAAGTGACCCCAGATCGGAAACCGCAACGGCTTCGTCGTCAAGGGAGCGAAGTATCGGCGCCACCCTAGTATAGCGGTGCAGCATCTTATAGGTACTAGCCCAGAGAGTCTCGTTGACGCCAAATCTGTGCGTGAGCGCAAAAGCGCTCTCCCCTTTACCGTACTGATCTTCTTTATGAGCTTGTGGACTTTATCGAGCAGACCTCCATCACGTCGCATAAAGTTTGCAGCGGCTAGAGCAAACAGATGGCTAGCGCACCCGTTTAGCGCGATAGTCTCAACCAACGACCGATACTTTGTTTGACGGAGCAGTTGTCACCAATCATAAAGGCTATTGTCTCTCACGGCTGCTTGTAGCGCGCCAAGGTGTCCGCCATGAGGTCATACAGACTTTGGGCCTTCATCCCCCATCGGGCTAAATGCCAGCAAGATGAACCGACGAGAAGTGCACTATAAATCATCGTGGTAGTCACTCTTTCGATGGGGTTCAGTGCCATCTGAATAATCAAAAACGGCGTAAATGGCGACAAAGTACCGGCACCGCTTGTCCATCCGTCGAGGACAATGTCGTAGCGTTTAGGCAGAATCTTGATGATGACTGGCACGACTCCGACTATTATCCCGTCTAGGTATAGCTTCATCGTCCTGACACAGGTGCGAGGGAGCTTGGCATTGCGACGAACCATATCCTTCTTACAGAAAGTCGGAATATGCAATTCATAACAGCTCACTCAAGCCGGCGGAACATGTCGGTCGTGGCCTGATCAGCTAGACGAAGCGACAAGAGGTTTGGCGCTCACAGTGCAGCTTTGGCGTCGGCTTTATGGGTAGGATGATAGCGCTTGAGATGGTTGATTACGTTGGTGTAGCCGTTAGCAGACTTGATGGCCTTGGAACAGCTGTTACAGCTGTACAATCCAGGCGTTTCCTGAGTCGTGAGGGTCAGACAAGTCCAGAATGAGCTGCGCTGCTGGTGTGACAAAGGGCTTACTTAATGAGGGTGTCTTTGGTGGCAATAAAGTGTTTTTAACAGCTACAAATTCACTGGTTTTTTTTTCTCAAAAGACTACACCTTTGCCAATCCAAACTGGTGGTAGTGTAGACCAAAACGGAGTGTCCCTTATTTAGAATTTGTTTTTATAAAAAATTAGAAATCCCCAAAATTAATCCAGACCAATACGTATTTAGTGTAAAGCAAAATGATGAATATATCGTGTTCGATGGTCGCCTCGAGAAGAGTATCTTGTCTTCTACAGTACTGCACATGCACCACGTACATTTCATTAGTGCATTAGCTATAGCCACGAGCGCCCCGCACCGGACGCCGTTAGAAGTGTACGAACTCTTCTTAACGCTGACCGTCCAGGCAAGCAGCCCCAACACGAGCGCTTGATGGCACGTCAATCTCTGAGCGCCATTTTTGAGACGCAAACTCAGAGCTGCAACCCCTCTCCTTCCATTCCCCACGGCTGGTTGACATCTGCAAACGCAGCCCATGCTCTCATCCTTGATGTACTCTGTCTACACCTTGGCCAATCCTAACTGGTGGTAGTGTAAACCAAAACGGGTTGTCCCTTATTTAGAAATTCAAATTTTAAAAAATAGACATACTTAAAATTAGTCCTGACCAATACGGATTTAGTGTAAGCAAAACAGGTGTGTGGATGAATATAGCTTGTTCGATGGTCGGAAACACACGCCTCGAATAGAGTATCTTGCCTTCTACAGTACTGAACGCGCACCACTGTATATTACATTAGTGCATTGACCGCACCTGATGCCGTTAGAAGTGTACGAACTCTTCTTAACGCTGAGCGTCCAGGCAAGCAGCCCCAATACGAGCGCTGACTAAAACGTCAATCGCTGAGCGCCGTTTTTGAGACGCCTGCAGCCCCCTCTCCTTCCCTTCCCCACGGCTGGTTGACGTCTGTAAGCGCAGTCAAAGCTCTCACCCTTGCTGTACTCTGTCTAATCGGATTGCTGGTCGTTTTGGATCCTCTATCGATGATTGTGCAGGCTGTACAAGCTGAGAGGTCACTGTGTGCACCCACACTCTCGTGTTCTGCCGCCCATACGCTGCTTTCACGCCCCCTTACATCTTTGTGTGTACCCCAGTCGGCAGCGCACCCGTAGTTCGTATTGCTGGATGTGTCACTCGCGTTCTTGCCAGTTTGCAGTACACTAAATCTACATTGCTCTAAAAACTAATTTTGTAAAATTATTCCTCAAATTTAGATGTACTTCGGTTACTTCACACCGTTTTAGTTTACACTATTAGGGCATCTCCAGCGGTAAGTTTTAACGTTGAGTTTTATAGGGAAAAATAAGGGGCTTTAAGACGTCAGCTTTACATAAGACTTCGCATTTCACCACCTACTTGCAACGGCAAGTTTTATCACGGGTCCTACGCGAGGCGTTTCGACCAATCAGTAGCGATCGATCGCTCAGAGAAGCATGGAAGGTCTCCCCGTGTGCCACGGCCTACTGGATGCTTCCACTGGAAGCGACTCTGACGACGAGTTCTACCGGCGCGCGTATCTGCTCCCAGCCCAGAAGAGAGCAAAGCACAAGCATAAATGTTCCAGTGAGGGGAAGCGTGCGGACAGGGCGCGGGGTCGGGAGCAGTGGGGAGCGAAACTGGTAGCCGATTATTTGGCGGACAAACCCACCTACAATGCTGGTAAGTTCACAGCACTCTTGTGGAGCTCTCATCCGTCTGACAGGTTGTATAATCTATTGCAGATGAGTTTAGAAGGCGCTTCCGTATGCGCAAAAGTCTTTTTGAGACTATCGTTGTTGCCCTTGTTGCCGACGGTAGCTGCAACTACTTCCAGCAGAAGCTGGATGCTACGGGCTTGCCTGGTTTTCTACCAGAACAAAACGTGACGTGTGCGCTACGAATGCTAGCTTATGGAGCATGTGCAGACCAGCTAGATGAACTGATTCGCATGGTCAAATCGACTGTGTTGGAGACAATGAAAATATTTTGCAGCAGCATCAGACGATTGTTTGGGCCGGAGTACTTACGTAAGCCGACACACCACGACCTGGAGACATTGTTAGACGAGAACGCAGCACGTGGATTCCCTGGTATGATCGGCAGTCTGGACTGCATGCACTGGGCATGGAAAAATTGCCCCATCGCATTACCACCACTCGAGTTAGCGTTGAAGGAATCTGAACCAGCCGTGTTGGCAGCGAGGTAAGCAGCCAGAATGGTTTTGCGCTGCAGCGCAAAATACACCTTAGATTCCTCGCTGCCTGGGGACTGCATGAAAATGCTGTAGTGCAACTGCTGTTCGAGAATTGCAGCTTTTTTTTTCGATGCAGCTACAAACCGCTCGTGAACATGATCAGGTACATCAGACCCTTGCTGTTTTCCCGCCTTAGCTTTCTTCACCCCAATTGATCGGACCACCCCTGGGGCTTCCGCTGCGCTGCGTTTTGTGCCACCGCTAGATGTCAGCTGGCTTGTCCATTTTGGCGTGTCCTTCAAAGTCTCCCACGCGCTCAAAAACTCGAACTCCTTTTTGTGGCGATCAGCGTAGACCTCCATTGTGCTCTTCATCGTTCCAACCCGAGCGCTCTCTGCTCTTCAACTTCGAGTACAGACCAGAAAACTTAGTCACCTCAGGCAGCAATTTCTTCCATCTGGCCACGATGGCGCTCTCAGAGCGAGAGTCTGCTTCCGCTGGCTTGTGTTCCAACCAATGCGTGTAAATTCTGCTGTAAAATGTGTTTTTCTTCTGGCTCGCGCCTCGCACTGGGTCCAGGGACCTTGCCAGCCAAGACCTGCACAGCTGTACGGTCTCAGCGGCACTCCATTCAGCTCCCTTCCCCATGAGATCTTTGTACTGGTGTGTCGCGTGCCTTTGAAATGCTCGAATCTTCGCGCTCTTGTCGAAGTGTGTGAACCACACAATCCTATAGAACTGAAGTCTTAACTTGAGACCTCGAGGAAGACTTTTAGGACCTGGTGAGGTTAAGACTCTCGTTAGGACCTGCCGCTGTGGACATAAGACTCGAGCTAAGTCTCAACTGCGCTACATTTGGCATAAAACCGCCTTTAAGACCTGCCGCTGGAGATGCCCTTAATACCACCAGTTTGGATTTGCAAAGGTGCAGTAATGTGGTACACTAACATACAAACGCATTAATTTGTCTGCAACTGTAAACATTGTGTCCAATTAATAAAAATCAAGACTTAAAAATTAATAATTAAATTAGAAACCCAATGGACTTTTTCCACAATATACCGGTCTAAGAATTTTGAATAGTTTTAGTCAGAATGACTCGCTTCATAAATACTCTGGACAGGATATAAAATCCGGCGCTTAAGGCTAGAGGGATCACCAAAGATTGGGTAAGCTTTCAAAGTACATGTATATGTACACTATTGCACTGAAATCGTATCGAGTTTAACGAGCAGCTTACCCCTCCCCGAAATATTTGCTTCGGATAGCCAGTATTTATTACGCAAAATGCCTCCCTGACGAGTCGCTCAAAGTGGTGAAGTAACGGATTGCATTTGAGGTAAGTACTATTGCATCAAATAATTTTTTTGTTTTGCTTCAAGTTTTTATAGGGAGAACATTTTAATTCTAAAGAAGATGACACAGACGAGGAACGCCAGCAAACTGACAGCGCCGCCCACAAAAATCGGTAATCGATAGCCCATCGAGGTTTCCACTAGTACCGAGCCGACAATGAAGTTTAGCAACTGCCCGGATGATATAGCGGAGCCTACAACACCTACATATACACCAATGTCGGCGGTGTGACCAAATATGTGAACAATGATCGGCACTATCAGTGCGAAGAACGTGCTGATAGTGATGGACGTGAGAGCCACAATGATCACATCCAGTGCCACAACGTCGCAGAATGCCATGAACATCAGCAACACCTGAGGAATTGTTGCAAGTGTTGCAATCTTTTTAGCTCCAAAGCGACGCACCAGCGGAGGAAGAACCCACGAGTACAGGTATCCGACGATACAAAAGAGCATATCAGCGAGGCCCCCAGCGAGTCGAACACCTCGGTTATAGTCCCGCTGTTCCTCCGAGCACTCGTCGCCACATGTCGCAGAGTTGGTCGCGTCTCCATTAAAGACCTCGAGACCGAAGAGCATTCCTTTGTTGCCGTTGTAGGCTGCGAAGGCGTACTGATTCAGGAAAATCACAGTGCAGTACACCGCCAGCACACCTGGCAGCGTCTTGACTGCACCGTAGATCGAGCCAAAGGCGAAGGTCACATTCTTACAGCAACTTCGCTTGTCCATCGTCTGTTTATCCAGTGGGGTCTCTTTGGCCACGTAGCATGACGCTCCAACACAAACTGCCATAAAGACTGACAGCATTCCCAAGAACCAGTGCATCGAGTTGTACGCGGCTCCAAAGAATTCCGTGTATGCAGCCACCACAATCGCGCCCAGTGTCGACCATCCGTGGCCCATTGCTGACCCGAGGGTCTGCCGTCTACCAGCAAAGTCCGATATCAACAGTAGCGCTGGGATGAGCGAGATGTGGATAGCAATCTCCATCCCAAGGTAGAAGACCACGGTGAGTAGAGCAGTCCATTTGCGATCTGTCACTTCTCCAGGTTTTCCAGATCCGACATCACCCAGCGCGTCTCCCAACTCTCGTGTGTAGCCCATAAGGACCCAGCAGATAATACTCCCAACTGCCGATACAACAAGGTACGGGCGACGACGTCCATATCTCGAGGTGCTTTGGTCGGAATACACTCCGACAATGGGCGCCATTACGACCCCGCTGAGTGGCCCGCTGAGCTGTGTCAACTGTACAGCGTAGCGAGGCAACATCGTCTGTAAATAAGGTCCTAATGCCGCCCATTGCGCCGCCCACGCCATTCGAATTGCCATACGAGGCATCGAAATGACGAGCAATTGTCCAAATGAAGCTCCTTGAGGAGTCAGTTCCTCCTCCTCCAGCATAGGCGACTTGCAGCCATCTTTCGGCGTCTCGGGGGTCGCGAGGGAGTCGAACGCAACGAACGACGTCCTGACCTCGATGTCCTTCAGCTTGGCGCTCATTTTCTCTTCGACTCGCAGAGAAATGCCAATCACACCAGTCGAGTGAATAGACGAGTGGTCTATTCCCGGGAAGCGGCTATCCCATGTTTTTTGGCCGCGTAGATGTTTACTTTGCGGCGAAGGAGGGTTCTCAGTGATCACAACGCCCCGGTGGCGGATGGTTAGCATGCACGTCGGTGCACCGGCTTCTTTGATAAACTGGAACAAAGCAACAGTCCCCACTGTTGTGTCACGCAACTTGTTCAGGTATCGTATAGGGTGGACTGACGCCAACGGATGTGTCCTCTCTTGGTTGGACATCCTTGGTCCAAGGGTGTCTAACCTCGGCGCAACCCTCCATTTCAAAGAGCTTTTTAATGCTTCAAGTCTCAGAAACGATTCCCCATCGCTTCTTTGCTGTTTCATGGCACTACATTTTTTTTCGGACCAAACAAGTAATTGGCAATCGCGAATTGTCATTCTACAGAATTTGCAGGACATTGAACCCATCAGATTCGTTACGGCAGGACAATGTGTCCTGCAATTTCCAAATGAAAAGAGGTACGACGAGAGCAAAGACTGGATCTGATTAAAGTGGGGGAATAATTCCTGATTTTCACAATTTTGCAGGACATTTGTCCAGATGAATACGCATACAAAGATTCATACACTTTTTTTTCTTCCTTCGAGCAGAACGATGGAGGACGTCGACTGGGAAGATCTCCAAGGAAGGTCACGGAAATAAAGCGCAACACAGTTAGTGCACGTTCTCGGGCTGTATACACGAACTCATACGGTCGGTTCATAGCATGGATTGTCATCAACAGGCCATTCCTAGTTTCCCCGGTATTTGGGGCACGTCTTGGTGATACAACGGGTCTGTCTATCAAGCAGATGCGAAAGCTCCTAAAGCCTCTTCTAGACTGTAATGTTACTACCCCTCCTCTTCGATTTGAGGCTCTACAGATGGACGAGTTTGGAGCGTGGCTATTGACCCTGAAGAAGCCGGACGGCAGCAGCCTAAGCTACTCCGCGCTGAACACGCACAGAACGGGTCTCTTCAATTTGTACCGGGATTACGGACTGGGAATCCCGGCTACAATGGAGAAAGAGTTGCAAACGTACTTTAAAGGATTGAAGCGAGAGAGGGCGACCGCTGCAGCGCGTGGTGAAGTCCGGACGAAGACAGGCAAGGACCCATTGTCGTTTGATCTCTACAGTTTCTTCTGTGGGCAACTCATTACGCACTCTTCAAAGGATATGATTTTCGTTCGTACCTACATGGTTGTCGCCTGGAATCTAATGTGTAGATCCGCCAATGCTTTCGGTATCTGTCACGGGCACATGGAATGGAACGGAGATGCTCTTTGTATTTATTTTGCTCACCAGTAAAAATGACCAAGAAGGTACCAAGCCCCGTGACCCGAAGCACATTTACGCTAATCCGCTGAACCCATCTATATGTCCAGTGCTGGCTAAAGCTATGTTTTGGGCAACCTCATCGTTCGATGGTAGTGATCTTCTATTTCCTGGGAACAGTCAATATGAGCGATTCCGCAAATGTCTACATCGATTATTCGACCGAGACGACACAGCTGAGGAGCTACGCCGGCGTGGTATTAGCGGCGATGACCTCGGCACCCACTCTATGAGGAAAGGAGCCGCGACGTTCTGCGCATCTGGCTCAACGGCATGCCCGTCGTCGACAGCAGTACATTTGAGAGCTGGATGGTCGCTAGGTGGCGTGCAAAATACGTATCTACAGTATGAATCGGCAGGCGATATGCACGTGGGACGAACTGTGTCTGGTCTCCCTCCTGATAGTCATAAATTTGCCGTACTTCCCCCGCATTTTGATGAGCGTGACGACGTCGTCGAGAAGGCGGCTCACTGTGTATTCCCTGGTCTACCTTCTCAACTTTCTTTCGTGGGCGAATTTTGCTTAGCTTCTCTGGTCTACCACGCACCGTATCTACAGTCAAAACTCGATGCAAAACACTCGTTGCTAGAGTCCCCTTTATTTCAGCATCCTACACTTCTTTTGGATTTGTCTCCAAGGATTTACAGGATTGACGATGACAGTACTCGGCTGCATGCCACTGGAGTACCGCCACACGTCTCAATTCTACGGGAATTAAAAAGCTATGTTGAGCACGTCGACGCAGCACGCGCTGGAACTGTTAAGGATGTCATGGCAGTGCTTGAGGAGAGAGCAATCGGAGCAGGTGTCGTAACCTTTGATGGTCTTGACAGCGCCCTTAAGAGATGCCTGGAATCTGCAGGCGTGGCCGCCTTGGTGGAAAAGCTCAACACAAAATATCATCAAACCAATACTCAAGAGGACGAAAACGACACTTACATGCTCTCATCGCACTTTTGGGGTGGGAAGTGTCGGCGTGTCCCCGCTGATTTTGATCTCCCAGACTGCTCGGTTAGCGCACTGTGGGTGCTCTGGCAGTGCGGAAATGCCAGCAAGAAAACCCCTCCGTTGCGAGTGCTTGACGGGCGTGACATGCCTAACAGAAACCTCCGAAAGCGGCTTAGTGATGCGCGTTACCTTATGCGAATGATTGAGGACGCAGCAAAACGTACCGGATTGTGGCGTGCTCGAGAGAGTGTCGCTGACGCTCTTAACACCTTCGCAGCGCGCTCAAAGAGCGTCGAGGTTCCCGAGCAGACTGCACGCAAACGCAAGCGGCGTCGAGGACAGCTCTCGTGGATTTCTGTTGTGGCTCTGCATCGTAGGGCTCGAAAACAAAGCTAATCATTGGGTTAAATTCCTGTATACACTTGTCAGTGATTGGTTGGAAATTTGACATGGTAATGTCCTGCAAATGTCCTGCAAATTCCGTCTAACAAGCAATTACTTGTGTGGTCCGAAAAAAATTATCAGCTCTTTAAATCGGCGATAATTTCGACAGAACCACAGAACCAAGGTCTGACACACAAACAACACATACAATATTCGTGTGACACATCAATGTCACATCACACTACACAATATGTCTGTGTGCCACACTTGCATTGGCCAAAACACACCAACCTAGGGCGTCTACACACCAGTAATTATTTGCGAATCACGACCAGTGCTATGACAATCCGTGAGCCAATCACCGCCCTTTATATCCTTTCTTAACAGCAAAGATCCTTCGTACAGTAAAACACTGAATTTCTGAAGCCCCCCCCCACCCCCCCCCCCCCCCCAACGAAAGATGGCAGCAACGACCAAGTGGACGACTATCTGCAGCGACATGGCTCGCGAGGATTCCCAGCTGCTTATGGAAGACATGAAGGTGTTCATCATTGCAAAGCGTCATCTGGTTCCATGTGTGGTGTGTACTCTGACCAAGCCGCACAAGATGCGGTACCAACTACTGCGTTGTTCCTCGGAAACATGCAAAGCAGCCACGCCATATGACGCGTGTCAGTGGCAGGGTAAGGTGCTCACGTGCCAAAGTCTTAACCGCGTCACCATAATGGAGACTGGTGCTCACGAGACGCTGGTGAGGGGCCCTCAAAAAGCAAAGATGACCCCACGACTCAAGGACTACGCCCGGACTACGCAACGCAAGGGTTAAAGCCCGCTCGGGTTCGCAATGGCATGGCTCGGTGATTTGGGTTGACGGAGACGGAGATGCCGACACTACGTCCAGTGCAGTGGTTCGTCAGCAGTTATTCGGAGAAACATCTGCACCGTAATGACGATTATGACGAAATTCTGGGCCAGATCGACCAGTTGGCTTATGTGAAACGTGCAGCACGCGGCAAACGAGATGTGGGGAACGGCTCTGACAAAAACTCATTTTTGGTGGGATTGACAACAGACGGCGTCTTCTACTGAGTGCTACCCGCGACCCAGAATCATTTGTGTTTCACATGGATGCCACGTTTAAGTCGAACCAAGTCGGGTACCCTGTCATTGTCTGCGGGATCTCTTACATGTGTCGTTCGTTTCATCTCGTGGCACTTTTCTTTACTTCGCAACGTTTGGAGGAAATTTACGTGACAGCGGTGGCAGAGCTCCGCAGCGTTTTTACTTCCGTGTCTGGTGGGCGCCAGCTGTTGGTCAAGTTCGTCATGGTTAATGCTGAAGCTGCCCAACAGAACGCAGTGAAACGAGTCTTTGGTGTCGATTGTGAATTTGTATACTTGATGTGCTTCTATCATGTGATGGCCAAGTTTCAATGTTTGATCCGGAGAGTGTAGTCACGCTTGATCAAACGGTTGAACTGCTCCACCGGGTTGTTTGTAGTGGCGTATTCACTAGGGGTATGGAAGCATTGCCATCGCCAAAATGAATTTCGCACCCACATACGCTCAAAATAGCCTTGAAACCGAATCAGCTGCTCTTCTTTCGACCACTTAGTTAGAATCTGTATCGCTTGCTCGTCATAGACATCTTGGCTATCCGTGAAATGGAGATCATAGATGTCCGCCCTCACTTGTTTGGACAAGTGCTCCGGTACGCCCTTGAGTTTTTCGGGAACACTGTTCCAGATGCTGGCGGATTGTTGCGGACACCAGTCGGTAACATCAAGAATCTTCAAGGAATCCCCTGAAGCCACACAGCAGTTAAACGCAAGGGTTAATGATTTTCGCAGCTGAGTTCTTCTCGTGGACATGATTCCCAGCCGGTCCAGCATCGACTTCTTCCTTGTTTCCCCAAACCAAGACGTGATTCGTGTGATGTCACGTGGCTGTGAGCGTATCTATCTTCCGGAACTAGGACGCAGTCGCGAAGTGGCCTCAGTTTAGGCCCATATAGGTGTGAATTACGCGCGAATGGAGGTGTTTGGGCAGCCTGATGGAGGTTGGCATGTGGATTTGAGTACGCATTCGCGCGGATGCAAGTACTACTTCAAATTTGCAATCTGCATCCACGTGCCTTTTGCTCTGCAGATTAAAAACTACACGGGGCTGGATGAAAAAAAAAAGCCTCTAGTCAATCGTTCCGTGACGAAAAAGCGCCGCCGATCTAATACCACTAGTGTTCGAGTGCCTGCTGGTCGCACACTGGTAAACCGACATGCGTTGAATACGGAGTGAAATTTGCTACCCGTAAGTACAGTCACATCTCGCTAAACAAAGAAACTATAGCTTCGTGTCTGTTTTTTTAGGTTAATATTAGCATCACGTTCAACTTTAATTTTAACTTCAATTTAAACTACTCTTGGTTAGCTTTCATTCTCCAACTCACCTCAACGATGGCAAGCCAACACGACGCCCCCCCCACTGACGCAGCACACTAACTGCCTTTCTAGCCTTCTTCAAGTGGTGCCAAGCGCACCTCCGCGCGCGTGGGGGGGGCGCCTCGATGAGGCTGCGGCCCGTTACCTGAGGTCGTGGGTACGTGTCCAACGAGGTAATGCCTCAAATACCGGAGATGCTATTAAGCGTCTGCTAGATGCAATACAACAAGGTCGCATCACCAAGGCCCGCCTCATCGAGGCAGCTGCTCAAGGAGAGGATGCTGGTAAGGCAGAATGGGTCTTGCCATCAGAAACTGACTTAAGTGATCAACCTACCTACCAAATGCGAACCATCCTGGCAGATCGCCGAATTGATGGTCACGTGTCAGCTTCTCACCTCGTGGGAACCAACATGGGATTTGGCCACTAACCTTCCTTCAAACGCGATACGGCTGTTCCGAAGACGCCAGCGCCGCCGTGTAGAGCACGCCTACATTGAAGCGGAAGCTTCTGAAGAATAAACAAGTATCAATAGCCTCATAATACATATTTTTTATAATGCATCGATGCTGTCTTTTTCTGCTTGTCATCCCCATTTCAGCAACCCCAGACCATCCGCAAGAGCAGTACAGGGCCTAGACCCTTCAACACGCCCCGCACAAGCCCGTAATGTCGCTTCCGTGTTGGCGATGACAGGTATAATGTGACGGGGTCACACAGCACCTTGCGCTAGAGGAAGTTATCTTCCGAGAGTATACAAACTCTCAGTGAACGGCAGTTCACAGGTCCCCTCTTTATTTAAAGAGAGCGAAGTGACCTAAATAAGGTAGATTGTAAAATGAGTATATTTATAGGTAGGTTAAGCTTGGGTTTAATACAAACTATAAGTTACCTATAGAAATGCAATGTCGTTTGACCAATGGTTGGCTTTGAACGACCTTGGTACCTTGTACCAAATATCCCGGAGTATGACGTGTCATACACCTGAAGCGTGAAGTGTCACACTTCATGTAACCAGGGTACACTTTGGGCTACGTACCCCGTTACATCCCCCCCACTTAGGTTCGGTTTACTGACCAATCAGAATGAAGAGGTGTTCGTCACAAACTCTCATTATCAAAGTCGAAAACCATCGACTTGGCCGCGCACGCGCGGCGGAGGCTCACTTCACAGTTAGAGCCTCGAGCAGCAACCTGTGCGCTCTTCGTCTAGGTCTCCAATTCGACCGTTACCATGCCTCGTGGCACTGCAAAGAGCAGTGCTAAGACACGCTCCAAGGCTGCTGCCGGTAAGGCGCAAGCCAAGAGCACTAAGCCTCACGGCAAAGGGTCTGCACTCAAGGAGGCTACTCAGGTGGCCTCCGAGGCGATCGCTTCCTCGGGTGACGCGGCTGTGGACAAGCGCGCAAGCAAGCGCCGCAGTCCGTCGCCCTCATCTTCAGACAATCGTCCGAACCCTCGGTTCGTGGAATGTGAGTTCAACTCGGGCAGTGAGGACGATGCCGAGTCCGAGAGCACTCACGATGCTCCTGCGGGCTCTGTGGGAGGGCACAGCCCAGTGCCCAGTAAGCACAAAGATGACAGCGTGCAGTCGCTCGCTAGTGATCAAGGTGATCACAGTCCCAGGACTTCT